GTTTTCATCCTATTAATCAGCAAAGCTAGCTGAACCAAGAACGCCCTTAGAAAAAAAAAAGAATGACAGCCTTAAATTAGAATAATTTTGCGAATTGTGGAATTTGAAATAACGAAGTGTGTTGATTTATTTACGTGGTTAAGTATATCTTGTCTTTATCCAGATGGATATGAATGATCCGACCAGCCCTATATATTTCCTTCTCCATTATGTTTCTTAAAGGATTTATCTGCACCATGCAATCACTTTCTATATGTAAATTGAGTAAGTGGTTAGCACTCACCATTTCTGGCGAGATTTTGGAAAAGGCCTGTGAGAATACCGCGGATTGCAAAGGAAATAAACTGATCGTTGAACAAATAAAGCCGGAATTTTCAATATAGATGCGGAATTTCGTTTTTATGGTGATTTCACGACGATTCCATAAAGGTTTCGTCAACCGGAAGAACGCATTTCTAGCTGTCGTGATTCGAGTTATAATATCATCTTTTGCCTGTCCATTTGGTATTAGAGTGGACCCAAGGTATTTGAAATGAAGCACTTCCTCAACCGGCAATGAATTTACAAAAAGAGGCATTTTATTAGCTTCTTGCACATAAGACGAAAAGACTTACGCTTTATTTACATTGATCCTAAGTCTGATTCTTGCTGCAGTTTCTGACACGTTATTTAGTATTACTTGCATTTCATTACAACTGTTAGCAAAAAAAGGACTACATCATCAGCGTATTCAAGATCTGTGATACGATGCTCTGGACTAATTCGGACACCTCTTGAGTGCCGACAAGCAGTGTCCATTATCCAGTCTATCGCATAGTTGAATATTGTGGGAGAAAGGATGCAGCACAGACACACACGGACATCTGTTCTTATTTCGAAGGAATCTGTCAGTTCCCCATATACACAGACCTGCGCCGATGTGCGCTCATAAAATGCCTTTATGAGTCTAATGATTTTCTCTGGAACACCATCACATTCCATAAGCGCTGCTTTATCAATTGAATCAAAGGCAGCCGCAAAGTCGATGAAACACGTGACAATGGGTTGCAAATATTTGAAACGATGTTCCAACGTTGGTACTTAACGTGAATATCTGGTCAGCACAACCGCGCCTTGGTCTAAAACCAGCTTGATAAGAGCGCATCCTGCTGTCGTACTTCCATACTCGTACTTCCATAAGTCTGTTGAGTAGCAGGGAAGCAAAAATTTTTGCTGAGACGTCTAATAGGCTGATTCCTCGATAATGTCGCAGTATGTCCCTTCTTGAGAATTGGGAGCAGAATTGCTTTGCTCCAATCATCTGGTAATATTTCTTTTTTCCATACTAAAGAGTACATTTATTGAAGGTGCTTTATGAAGGACAGCATTTGAAAAGTTCAGCCCGAAGACCATCTTTTCTTGGAGTTTTGTTGGCTTTAAGTTTATGGATAACGGAAATTATTTCTTCTTCTGTTGGAGACTTGCAATTCCAAGCGTATGCTTCGGTAAACGTATGAACTATATCAGGGGCAACAAATGGCGCTTCATGGTTAAGTTTGGCCTCAAAGAATTCTTTCCATCTTATGTGGCGATCCTTAATACTTTTGATCAGTACGCCATTGCTGTCTCTTACCATTTCACTGATCGTTCCCCGAGTAATAATTGCTTTATGAAGAAGGCAGAATAGTTTCTTACTGTCGCCTAATTAAGCCGTCGCCTCCTTGAGGCCATGTCACTCCAATAGTGATTTCTGTCCTGCCTTGCTGCTTTCATTGCAAATCTTCGAAGCACCCGGTAGTTAGGATCACCTGACATTCATGCTTTGGCAGCTTTTTCAGACAATTGGATAGTTGCTTCCGATACCCAACTAGCGCACTTCCTACTAGTATGCCCAAGCGTGGAAGCGGCTGATTTTTGGAGACATTCCTTTAGTTTGCACCAGTATTCATTTGCCGTTCCAGAAAAATCATTGATATTTGTATCATTGGGATGCTTCAATAATTCAGTTTGAAATGCGCTCGCTGTCCCCGAATTTTTTAGTTTGAGATAATTGAAAGAACTTGGGGAATGCTGTTTTCTGCGAGTTATCAATTTTATGCGGATCTTGGCTGGAACCATAACATGGTCAGATCCATGAAGATTGCCTTTCAGCTCCGCGATAGGAACGACTATCTAGTACGGAACTCTTCCAACGGCGATTGACTAAGTTCTAATCAATCTGGTTGAAGTTCCGCTTGGCTTGCAACGTCAATAACAACGTTTTACAACGTTCCACGCTGATACGGCTAATACCTCGCGGCGCGTGCAGAGGGCTGTTCCCCTTCTTGATAGGTTTCGAGCAATTACCCTGGCTCGAGGGCACATTTTATTTACCATCCTTGAGACGCTTTAAGCCCGGATTGTATATTTATCGCATGTACCACCGAGTTCGAAGTATCATGCGCGTCGGGAGACGCGAACGCCTATGAAGTGTATCTGACCCTTTCACCATAGAGTCACATTGGGTTAGAGTTACAGGTGGGTCCCCAGCAGCCACCCGGATTTTTGACATAATAGCAGGGTTTACTCCTGCTAAAGACAAAAAAAAAATTAAATTTGAAGAAAATAATAAAATGGACAATGAAATTTAAAAAAAAAAAATATATAGTTATGAAATATATATACATATATATTATTTAATTATAATTTAATTGATCTGATTTAATTTAATTGATTTAATTTTAATTTGTTTTATTTTAATTTTAATTAATTTTAGCGTTGTTTGGTAAAAAAAATTAAAAGTTCAAGAGAACTTAGCTGAATTCTTATCAAAAATAATTTTCAAGTAAAACAAAATAAATCGAGAATAATTTCTTAAAAACGACCGCTCGCCAAACAAAAATTTTTTTTTTTTATCCATTTCCATATCCATAAATATCCATTATTATTATTGTTATTATTACTATTATATTATTATATTATCGTTATTATTTATTATTATCTATTATTATTTATTATTATAGATTGGTGGCGATGATCGTTCAAAACGTGTTTTCTGGATTGATGGAGGAATCCATGCACGCGAATGGGCTTCACCACACACTGCTCTTTATTTCATTCATCAACTGACATCAAGATATGGAAATGATAATGGAGTAACAAGATATGTTGATTTGCTTACATGGGTGATCGTACCTTGTCTTAATCCAGATGGATATGAATACACTCGATCGTCGACCAGCCCTAATGTTAGATATTTCTTTCTCTATAATGTTTTGTTAAAGGATTTATCTGCATCATACAATTACTTTCTGATTAAATCTACGAACAACGAAGTTCAGATTCGGTTATGGCGAAAAAATCGATCGCCGCCAACATGCTTTAAAGACCAATGGGGCCATAAAAAATGTTGTCGTGGTGTCGACCTCAATCGAAATTTCGATTTTCATTTCAAGGGTTACTTAATTCAATCAAATTAATAATAAATAAGTAACAAATAAACCAAAGAATTTCTGGAACTATGGATTAAATGCTTCGCCATAAAACCACTACTAAAAAATTATTTAATAATGCAGCCATAATTCCAAAAAGATACACATTTTAGAAAGTGGATCAAGCGATGATCCTTGTTCAGAAATTTATCAGGGCGAGAAAGCATTCAGTGAACCTGAAACGAAGTTAGTTTATTTTTATTTTGTTTATTTTTGCCTAAATATATTCTTTCTCTAAAATGTTCTATATATTCTCTAATATTTTGACTTTAAGTTATCTTATTTCAATGCCAAGTACCATTTGCCATGTAAAGCGATTAATATTATGCTTTTTTTTCCGACATTTTTCTCGGTTGACTATACTACCTTTATTTGAGACTTCAATTTTTCTACATAATTTAGGAAGGAATCTTTCTTAATTATTTAAATAATTAATATTTGATACTGTTTCCCATAGTTTTCTTGTATTCTTCACATAGTAAGTTGTTGATCACTCTTAATGGTTATAGCATTACAGTGGACCTGTATAATTGTGCGTCAAATTACATAAAAAATCGTCATCACGCTGTGTGTGTCAACATTCTTTCTCACATGACATCTGTTAAGTCTGGCGTTCCCCAAGGTAGATGTACTGCGTCATTGCTTTTTCTATTATATATAAATAATATCACCAATGTGGTATTAAATTCTGCTATTTATCTTTATGCTGATGATTGTAAAATTATTATTTTCATGGTAGAACAGATAGCCTATTTCCACTGCAGGAGGACCTCAACAGAATAGCTGGCTATATGACAGGCAATCCTTTCCTTTACCCTACCTTTCCCTTACCCTTTCAAAAATGTAGCGTTCTTCATATCAATTCTAAGGGATTCGATCTTCCTAATCTTTTTATTAATGGTAATATAATCAGAAGAATCTCACACATATCTGATCATGGAATAATCGTGAATGAAAATCTCGATTTCGACTACAGGTCCATGGTAAAGAATTCCTCAAAAATACTAAATTTTATTTTTCGTTCGTTTAAGAATAAAACTGAAGGTTTTCTTATCAAAATTTATAATAAAGTATAGCCTCTTCTTGACTGTACTACTACCACCTATTACCTCCGGAGATTTCGCAAATCAAGTAAAAATATTTTATGCGACGCCTCTCTCCTAATAGCAAATTAATTATAAAATTTTAATTATAAAAGAAGACTTCTACAGTATCTGTAACCTGTATTAGTTCAAGATTTAAACAAGGATTTAATTTATCCTTATAAGATTCTGTATGGTTATATTAAACTAGATTGTTCAAAATATAATTTTAGGCTAAATTTGAATCGAACAAGAACAAATGGGCTAAATCTATGTGTAAAACTAAACTCATAGGGTTCTTCTAAGGAAAGGATATTTGTACTACTAATTACTGGAATAAATTATTGAACGATATAGCTTATGCGTCATCCTTAGCTATCTTTAAAAAGATTAGACAATATCATTCATTAAAAAGTTCATATCATGCAGGAAATATGAAATCTCAATTTTTACTATCCGATTATATATAATACAGCTACTTCGAATTGTACTATATTATATTATTTTTTAATTTCCTGTTTTTCTCTTTATTTTTTCTTTAAATTGTTAATTTTTGCCATATCTTCTTTTTCTTTTTTTTATCATAAATTATTATTTGTTATTTTAACTGTTGTTATTTTAATTCAAGCCATGGCGTTTGTCGCCTTGCTTGGTTGGTTTTCAGTAAATAAATAAATAAATATAAATAACATATAATTAACGTAAATAAATGATAATAATTAAAATTCTTTATTCATAGAAAGCATCATTTCAGAGCCGTAAGGGATGTGATTCTATCGAATCGCTATCGTGATAGAATCGATGGATTTATCACACTTCATACATATTCGCAAATATGGATTCATCCATATGGCCATAGGCGCGATACGTATCCTGGTGACATCAGGGATCTTGTAGGTCTTTTAGGTGCTTTGTGGTATCTTTTATAATACATATAATTTCTGCAAATTCCTAAGGACCATTATCAATATTTATCAATTTCATCGTTATTTATTATTTTCAATTTATTTTATTTATTAAAGAAGACAATTTTCAAAATGGAAATGAAAATTACAGTTAAAGTTAGTAATTTCTAATAAAGCAAAGGTAAAATATTTTTAAGTACGAAGTTGGCAAAAAAGCGACGAATGCACTTCGACGACTTTATGGAACGAAATATGTGGTAGGTAGCGGCGCAGATACTCTTTGTGAGCTTTTTTTTAGGATCGTAAAAAATTTCCAAGTTTTCCGCAAAAAAAGATGTCATTTGAAATTCCAAAAAATAAATTTCAAAAAACAAGTTCTTTTCATTCTCATTTTTATAGATCCAGCATCAGGAGGATCGGAGGATTGGGCAAAGCAATATGCATCTATAAAATACGTCTATCTCTTGGAATTACGGCCTGATGAACGTAGTTAGTTGATTCACACCATTAAATTGTAATGTCATTTGATCGAAAATAACATGTAGTAATTTTTGTAGGATTTCAGACTGGGATGGCTTTATACTTGATGAGCAACAATTAATTCCAACAGCAACAGAGACATGGGCTGGCGTACGAGTTGTAGCTGATGCTGTGATTGAACGTATAAATAAAACGAGATCACCAAAAAATGAAGAAACAGGTGAAAAAATTATATTTCCAATCGTTCCAGGAGAAATTGGAAATTTTTTTGGCTTCATTTGTACCTAATCAAACTTTATCGTAAATCTCCTTATTTAATAAATGTTAACATAGGAATAAACTGAAATTGGATAAACTGGAATGTTTGACGCTTGTTTTGGCAGTCTAAAATAGACCATTCGCCTTTATTTCATTCAAAAGTAACTGAGATCTAACACATTGGTCCTTTCTTTGCCGCTAAAAACAGAAAACTGATTTTTGCATTAAGAAAATTTCTTTAAAAGTTTTGCAAATACACGTAAGATTTTGAAATTATCGATTAATATCACTCGGAATTCCCACTGCGATTAAGATTTTACAATTTTTTAAGCACCGTTTTTTAAGAAATAAAATTTAAATTTTTCAGAAATGAAGGAGCGTTTTGGTGATGGCAGTACTGGTTCATGTTATGATCTTCGACATGCGTGTAAAAGATGGATTCAAGAGAACGAATCACTCTGTCGTACTGTCCGAATATTTATGCAAGAACAGTGTGCTTACTCCTGCGGGCACTGTTAAAAAATTCACTTAAATATATTAACTTAAAAATTTTTGTACAAAAAAACGTGAATACCCTCATCGTATACCCATTTCAGAGAAGAAAAAACGTAAATTTGTCAAAATAATGATATTTAGAAAAAAAAAGTAGCAAAATTATTATATCTGCAGCTTATGTATTTTTTTATATTCAAGGAAAACGGCTTTTCATTTAATTTTAAATTTTAATATATTTATATTAATTAATATTTTAGCGTTTATCTTTTTCTTATCACTCTTCTTCTACCTCTTATCAATACTAATCAAACTAATTTTCAGCTTAGAATATTTAGGCAGTTTTAGTTGACGCTTATACCACTGACTGTATTTCCCATAATTAAAATAGTTGCAGCAGATGGCTGATGAGTAAAATTTAAATGGAAAGTAAATTTAGAAAGGAATTATAATGCGAAACAGGAAAAAAAATGTATTGTAAAAAAATGAATAAATAACTACATATGAAAAGCTTTTAATAAAGTCTCACCATTATCTAATCTCAATGAATGTAATTTGAAGAAAAAAAGGAATTTGTGGAGAATTTGTCCTAGGATTAGATGTACAATGAAGGTTTAAATAAACGCTTTTTAGATAATCTTTTGTGATATTTTCCTTTCTAATGTTTTCGACTTCAATCTGAATCTACTTTAAATTTGATGACCAAGTTATTATTAGTGACATAAAATATTCTTTCGAGTCCCCAGCTTATCCACAGATATTTCCATTCAAGCAGGTCGATATGATCAAAAATATTGATAATCTGCATATGCATGGATAAGAAAGAATAAACGGTCACCATAATCCTCAAATTCTAACTCTTTTAATTGTTTAAGGTTATCTTTATATTCCCTGGAAATAAATTTATAAATATGCTTATCCTCCAACCCTTTTACCCTCCACTTGCATTGCCACAGTCCATTATATTTCATCAATATCATTCATCAATGTAGTAGAATGGATCCAAGCCTAAAATTTCTTTTGCTTTTCTTCATTTTCTACTATCCAAAGATATTTTGTTAGCAAATAATCTAAGCATTCATCCTGATTGTTTCGAGAAAATGTCGTGACTATTTTTTTTGAAAATCTTGGTTCATGAGGCCAAAGAACTCATTAATTTTGAATTCAATATAAAGATAACTCAGGACACGGCAAAATTTCATCAACGTCTAATTTACCATAGATTATTTCCCATAAATTTCACCAGGGATAATCGAAATGTGAAATATATCTAGAAAAATATTTAGTAACTTAGTGATACAATTTGGCTAAGTGCATTTATCAGCTATGGTGCGATGATGCTCGGTACTTTCGTTCTACCGAAATACTTTGTGGAACTTTCTTACTGAGCACCATTCGGTTTGCTTTCTTCCTTGTCTATATAAATAGAAATTAATTCTCGCTGCTTATATAGCTTATAGGGTTTCTAATTTCGATTCGGGTTACCAGCTATAATATTCTTTCATGCACGTACTATTGCTTTGCCAAAATATTTATAATTGCAAACTTTTCTGTCTGAAGATCCATAAATGCACTGTTGGATGAAGATACAAACAGGTTAAGTGGTATATGAAAGTGGCGTGTTTGGAATAAAATCAAGCCATTATAGCTTCAATTCTTTTCTCTCGATGGGAGCAGAGTGCCAATAAAAATGACATCCCATCGCGATTTTTTAATAGCCAGCGGGGATATCCAAGAAACTTGAAAATAAGCGAAAAAATTTAAAACTCACCTGCCCAGATCGAAAACACTCAAGATTCAGTGCCAAATTTAATTCACGATTTCTTCAAAATCTTTTTGCCTTCACTGTGCTGTCACAACGTGTACCCACAGCATACTTGTTTCCTTCTGGCAAAAATCTAGCTAATTAAATTAAATTCAACAGAATTAAACTCTGTATGCTGAGATCGAAGTAATTCATTTGATGGTGGTCCAATATATTTTGATCAGTATTTCGTTTCATTTAGAGTCAAGAATAAGATGCAAATAATTCGCTGTCCATATGTCATTGTTATTAAAGTCCTTCTACATTTCGCCAAATCTCATAATGATATTTCTCCTTGTTTTTTACATCTGATTTGCGATTTAATCTTATTGTTGCCAACTATACTTTTGTGGTAAATTATCTGGGTGATGATATATTTCTCCTGCCTATACATGGGTTAGCTGATAGGATAGTGAGGGAATATGAGAACTGAGAAATCAGAAAATATTAGATGGCTTGATGAGTATCCAGGTAATATAGTGATGACTCAATAGGTACAAGATATATTATAAAAATGTACCACAAAGCTGCGATGAAGTTCTACTTCTTCCAACACCTCTCACCATTTTGATTAGGAGGGCTCCACTGACTACAAGGATAAGATGTTTCCAAGCGATTCGATCTATGCCATCGCTTATAATAATAGAAACAATTCCTTTTTCCATCGTCAAAGTCCATATATTGCTGGTCCAGCTATATGTTCAAAATTTTTTTTGCATCAGTCCAGGTCTTGCTTCGCCCGCCCCGCTTTTGACGCCACCCATCACAAGATTGGAAATAACGAAATATGTATAAATATATGTGGAAGACATGAGAAGAGCGATCAAAGGTGACAGGCGACGCTCCGTGATGGCAAGTGGTATAAGTGGACGCGATCATGTGATATTTTATTCGCTCGACGGACTCGTAAAATGTACAGGAGTGGTCAAAAGCAGATAACTTTATAACTTTTAATATCCTCCACTCTCATTGGCCATGTCTCAGAGCCATATGGTAAAATCGAATGAATCAAGGCTATATAGATGCAGACTTTCGTTCTTATGGTGATTTCACGACGGCTCCATAAAGGTTCAACTGGAAGAACGCATTTCTTCAACTGGAAGAACGCATTTCTAACTACCGTGATCCGAGTTGTAATTTCGTCTTTTGCCTGGCCATTTGGTGTTAAAATGGACCTAAGATATTTAAAATCGGGCACTTTCTCAACTGGCAATGAATTGATAAAAATAGGTATTTTAGCTTGTATATATGACGAATTATTTACATTGATTTTGAGGTCCAATTCTCGCTGCAGTTGTTGATACATTATTTACATTATTTCGACGCAACTGTTAGCAAAAAGAACTACGCCATAAGCGTATAAGATCTATGATACGATGCTCTGGACTGATTTGTATACCTCTTGAGTATCGACAATCTATAATCTTGTCTTTCGTATTGTAAAGAAAAGGATGCAGTCGGCTTTGACCTACACCAGTTCTTATTTCGAAAGAGTTTATCAGTTCCCCATTTACATAGCGCTGTACTTTGATAAAATGCCTTTATGAGTCGATTGATCTTCTTTGGGACACCGTCGCATTCCATTACCCACCAAAGCGCCGTTTTATCAATTGAATCGAAGACAGCCGTAAAGTCGACGATAAAACACGTGATGATTAGTTCTAAGTGATGTTTCAACACCTTTCTTAACATGAATATCAGACAACCGCATCTCGGTCTGAATTCAGCTTGATTAGGGCGCATCCCACACTTTCATAAGAAGCAAACAGAAGCAAAAATTTTCGTTGATATGTCCAGAAGGTTGATTCTTCGATAATTTTCGCAATATGTCCTATCATCTTTCTTGAAAATTAGGATTTCCATACCAGAGAATACAGAGAGAGAAAGATGCTTTATGAATGATGGTGGACAAAATTTGAAATATTCAGCCAGGAGATCATCATTCTCGTAGACATTCTTCCAGAATCTTATAGACTTTAAGTTTATGGATTATTTCTTCTTCTGTTGGTGGCTCACAATTGCAAGCGTATGGTTCGACGAACGTATCAATTATATTTGAGTTAACAGATGGCGCACCTTGGTTAGTTTGGCCTCAAAAAATTCTTTTCAACTTATAACGCCTTCCTTAATACTCTGTCCACGCCATTGCTGACACCCTTCCCATTTCACTGATCGTTCCCAAAGTTGAAGGCAGAATAATTTCCTATTATTGCCTAATCGAGCAGCTTTCTTCATTCTCACGGCCGTATTATTCCAATAGTGATGCGCCATGCTGCCTTTGCAATTCTTCGAAGCACGCGGTATAGCCAAGATCTCATGACGTCGTGCTTTCACAACTTTTTCAGACAATTAAACAGTTGCTTCCAACTAGCGCACTTCTCTTCCTACTAATAGGCTTATAAGGGGCTGACTTTCGGAGACATTCCTTTAGTTTAGACCAGTATTCCCCGTTTTAGAGAAATCCTTGATATTTATGCCATTGAAATGCTTCAATAATTAGGTTCGAAATGCCCTCATTGTCCCCGGATCTTTCAGTTCGAGATAGTTGAATGATCTTGGAATCCGTGAGTTGTTAATTTAATGCGGATCTTGGCTCGAACCATATTGTCAAACTCATGAAAATTACCGCTCCAGCTATAGGAACGGCTATGTATTCGGAACTCTTTCAACGGCGATTGACTAAAACATAATTAATCGGGTCGAAGTGTTGGTTATTCAGGAAAATTTACGTGATGCACAATCGAATTAACCACGTCAGTACTATATTACTATTGGTAGAAACATAAGTATTTTCTTTTCCTAGGCTAATATAACAATAAAAATAAAAGAGCGATTTTTTTCAAATCAACTCAACTCAACTTATCATAATGGCGTATGATTATCAACATAATTATCAACATTATGCATTATCATATCTCCAATAATAAATTCAGAATGAAATTTAGACAATTTAACGATTCCCAAATCTATTACATGAAATGCATGGAATAAATCAATGTGGAAAATTTCTTTAGAATTAATATTTTAATCACCAAAGATGCAAAAAATATCAAATCAAAAATCAAAAATCAAAAAGGTCATCCTAATTTCAAAACTGAATAGAAACAAAAAATTTTTTTTTGGTTCCATTAAAAGCTTATTTACATCGAAACCTGGAAATTTCAACTATAATGAAATTGATAAAAATAATAGAGAATACAGAAAACAGTACAGTGAAATATCAACAAAAATCCACAAAAAAAAAGAAAACAATTTGAGTTGTTTTGTTGAACTGTTTCGAATATTGAAATAAATAATAGCATTAAAGCAATACATATCGTTTATAAGAAAATCTTAAAAAAAATTTTAAAAATTAAAAATTAAAAATTTTCTCATTCCCATTTTCCCATTCCCATTTTCGATTCCCATTTTCAAATTATTCTCAACTGTTTAGTTTTGATAATTTTTGTATTTTCAAATTTTTTAAAATAATTTTATGATTTGATACGCTTATTTTGTGAATTTAAACACTGCATACTGCTTTAACTAGCGATAAATCCATAAGTAATGAATCAACAGATCGATGCATAGCAGATGAAAGGATTTCGTCGAGAAGAGACACTGTTGTATGTTCATCAGATATAAATTGCCACAAATTTTGTTGTAGATAATAACAATCGACCTAAAAAATACTTGAAAAATAAAAAAAATGAAATATGAAATAAAAAAATCGTATAGAAGAACAAACCTTTTTTTAGCATTCTGATACAAATTTTCCATTTCCTAATACGATATTTTTTTTCTTTTTTCCCAGAATAAATGAATGTAATGAATGCAATGAACTTAACGAAGCAAAAGATAAATTGGAACAAACTTTATAGCTTACAAACTTTATGTTTATGGTTTTTATGGTTCAGTAATTTCAATTAAGCGAATAAAGAATAAAAAATATACCTGTATTTGCTGCAAGCCATATTTTGAGAAGGTTTGTAACCGAATAACTTCAAGAAATGATTTTAATACAACGTTCGCTAAAGCTGTTAAAACAGAAGTCCGGTTAAACTAAAAAATTTGGTTTCAACTGTATAGGTATGCAAATAAGGAAGCAAAAAATATAAAAAATACAATAAAGACCAAATATTCATCTTACTTATGATTTAAAAAAACGTAATAATGTACCTCTATATTAGCAGAAAAATCAACGCGATCAGCCCAGAGTTTATCTAACGTTGAACTAATTGAGCAAGAGTCATAATTTAGGTTTCGCCTTACATGAGATCTAGCAACTTCCATAGAGCGTTCTTTACGGGTGCCTTCATCCATCTTAAAAATAGAAGCTATAATTTAAATTACTTCTCCACAAATAAAAAGCGAAAAATTTAAGATTTTTAATTTTTATCAGCACAATTTAATTTAAAAATATCTTAATTAAATAATCAGAACGCTTAAATGCCTATGTAAACAAAAACCCACAAATGGCTTGATAAGTGAACTGAGTGAAGTTAAGTTATCTATAAAATGTTTTATAGCTGATCGTACAGTAGTTGGCTCAACACATTTTAACCAATCACGAGAATCAACACTTCTCACCAGCAGCTAGAATAAAACTATATGCATAAGATTTACAAATAAGAAATTATTGAAAAAGGTAAAAATTTAAAGAAATTCATTAATTAAAATGATTTTATCAAAAAGAAATGAATATGAAGAAAAAAATATCATAATACCTGTGACATACTCACACCTTGAAAATAAACATAATATTTAAGTAATCCATGTGCAGTTGTTTTTACAGCTAAGTGAATCTTTTCAAATGGTGTTAATTTCGAGTTATTTTTTTCCCGTTCAGAAACTAATCTAAAAACTTGAACTTAATGCTTGTATTAACGATGAAATGACCAAAAAAAATTCAAACAATATACCTAAACTGCTCTCTGCATAAATCCAATATGTAACGCACTGAATGATTTCCAATATTCATGAAGAATTGAGCAAGAATAATAATAACTGTTGGAACGACATTAGCCTTGTTCGACTCATGCTCGTAGAAACGTTTTCCTAATGCGTCAATATCTTCTAATGCACCAATTACAAGATGTTCATGAACATCGATACCGAATCCAAGTAAAAATAGCGCTAAATTTACGATTTTTTAATAGAAAAATTGATCTAAAGATATAAACATATCGAATGAGACTATCAATTTATAATTGTCACTTGTAAAACAGGAAATAGCATCATTTTTTGTAAGTTAAAGGTGAACTTTCAAAGTAATAGATGAGAAATTATATGAGTAATAAAAAAATGTGAAGGAAGTTACCAGGATCAAGTGAAGAGAACGTCATATCTGAAGCAGTGAATAACAATAACGAGGCAAGAGCAGTCTTCAATTGAACAAGTAGGGTTTGTTCCAATTTTATAACAAGTTCACTCAAGTGAGAACCAGACGAATGAGAAAAGTAAGTCGACGACGACAATTCCTTACGTATCTTAAGGTGATTATATCTTATCTTTTATTTATTTTGGTATGAATATACATATTTCAATTTTTTAATTTAAGAAAAAAAAATTTCTTCAAATATCTAAATCATTAATGTAAAATTCAATTCTAATAAACTAAAAATCGGTTTATCAAATCGAAAAAAGACCTCCAACACAGTCTTTTCAACTTGCTCGACAACACGAGAACGAGCCAAAGTTATTTCATGTCGAGCGATAGTATTCAGCATACAAACACTTATAGAAGAATAATCAACGCCTACAAGAAAGAAGAAAAATTAAGCAAAAAAATTGTACAAACTTCCGACCTATAAGTCTCGAATATAATCGACAGATACAAAAAAAAAAATAACAATTCTACTTAAATTTTTATTATACAATAAAAATGACAAAATGATAAATTAGGCAAATAATGAGATAAAATGAAAGTAATTAATACCTATGATTTGATTACAAGAAGAAACGCGTCGATAAAAGCGATCAAGAGCACGTACTACGATGGCGCATTCACGTGCATCTGTTTCATAAAAAAATCGTGATCTGACTGCTTCTTCAAACTTCAGCATAAGGGAATCGACCATTTCAGTCATTTCACTATTATGTGACTTAAAGTATCACATAATACTATAAGATACGATAGTGAAAAATTTACATAAAAACTACTCTCTGTCTCTATTCAAAATGTCTATGACAAAATGATTTGAAGGTTTATCGTGGGAAATTACATATTATCCATTCGTGATCTCACAATTCAAACATGAATTTTTAAGAAACCTATTTCACCTGATCTGGAAAAAGACGATGATTAAGTGCGCTGACCAGTGATAAGTCAGCAAGAAATCTGCTACATGCATCATCAACAAATTCCAGAACATCTTCTTCCAGTGCCTATTATTAATTCTTTCTTTAATTATATTTTAATTACAGTTCCAACATTTGTTGTGAAGTTATAAGCAAATATATTTAGAAAACCTAAAAAAATCCTATGAAATCATGTCGAAATCCAGTAATGAAGAAAAACTGAAACAGGATTACATGTTTATTTCGATCTCGCAAGCTTATGACTTGCTCCTTTAAATTTCGACGGCAATTCTCAATAAAAAGAAAATAAACTGGAGTAGACGATGAATCGAGTTTAAGCAATAATGTAATGGCTTCAACAAGTTCCTCAGAAGAAAAAAGGCTATCTTTAATGACCACTTTGAGCTAAAACGCTAAAATTAATCATTTTTTCGACCGAAATAAAAAAAAAAGCAACTTATAAAAAAAATTTAGTAACAATGAATAACACAAATCGCAATATTTCTAATAATTTCGAATTTCAAACTAACTAACTCGTTCTTTAACATTTCCCATAAGTTGAGAACATTCATCATGAATATTTGCAATAGAAGGTACGTTATTATATCGGATTAACGTAGGTTCAGCGGCTAAATATGCCTTTACTGCCTCATTGTAATCTTTTTGTTCGTAGAAAATCTGTAAAAAATAAAAAATAAAAATTTAAAAAATTCAGAATTTCCAGAAGTATAAGAAAAAAGCAACAGGCTATGGGCTATTAACAATAAAGAAATTAAATTAAGAATTAAAGAATTAAGAATTTAATTAAATTAAATTAAATTGAATTAAGAAATTACTATTAACAATAAAGAAATCTATAAATTTAGCTAATCTACAAATTTTTTATAGATAATTCATTCGAACAAATAGAAAAAGTAGCAAAATGAAGATATCCAAGCAAAAGCATAATTAACATTAGAATACAAATTATTTGATACTGAAAAAAAAATAGACAGAAAGAATTAAGGAAGATATGTAAAATTAAGCATCTATTCAAAATAACTGAAATTATTCAAAAATAGATTGAAATAAGTTTAATGAAATAAACAACATTTCTTCAACATTTATTTATTTTATTTAATTTTTTTATTTTTATTTAGATTCAAGTAGAAAATTATAAATAATAATGAAAATTATAAATTAAGTTTACGAAAACAGAAAAGCAAACTCGAAGCTTCTGTGGTAGACTGAGAATGTACTGCAAATTTTTCACAGTTCTATTTGCTTCAGCAAGCTGTGAAACATTTGAACGATGTTTCCCAAACGCGTCACACAAATCTTTCGATAATAAAGAAATTCGATTCATTCGCTTCGATAAATTTTCCATTTCCGGAAAAAAGACATTCCACAACAATTTTTAATTTAATTTAAAAAATTTATTCCTACATATTAAATAATCTTTGATAAACAAATCTTTAAATTCGAGCAAATTAATTTTTTGAAATAAATTAAAAAGTTACAAAAACAATTCACCATTACTGAAACAACTTTTAATCATTTATGATTAAAAAGAAAAAAAAGAGATATTACTTTTTTAAATGCAATCAATCACTGGAATAAATACAAAAGAAAAATGAATGAAATGTTAATTAATTAAAATTAAAACATACCTTATCCATTTTCGAAAAATCATTTTGCATCCTCCTCACCGTGCTTGTTGCAGTCAAGAATTTATTATAATTTTCATATACAAGTTGCTGCATTTCCGAGTCCAAGCGACGAACCTTTAAAAATGGAAATATTATTAATGAAAGGCAACGGTATTACCACCATTATTATTAACATTACGAATATTTCATTACTCATTAATCCTCATTTATTTATTGTAATCATTTTTTCATCATTCTTATTACTGTTTACAAATTCGGTGAAAAGGATTTCCTGAAAACAGGTCGGCTAACATTCAGCACAAAACAGATTTCGGGAAATCCCCGGCTGTGATTCAGATTTGCGAATGCGGTAATTTTCAATGAATTCTAGTATAATAAAATTTTACGAAAAGTTGAAAACAGAGAAAATACGAACTAACATTATGAACCATAGTTTCTTCAACAGCAACCAACTCATCAAGGCTCTTCTTTTTTAGTAAATCACTTAGATATGCTTCACAATCGAACTCAGCTGAATTTATGTCAATTGGATTCACTTGTGCGTCAGACATTTGCATGCATCTGGAAAAAAATCATCCCTTTTCAAATCCACCTAAATATTCCTCTGTTAATAAATCACTCCGAGCGACAAATGATAATACGATAAATGACAAGCAAGTGCAGCAATAACCTATGAATCCCACAAATCGCGTTCTAAAAACTGGTTTTTTTTCCTGTACCATGCGATCTAAAAGGCAGCTTCTGCAAACAATGGTAGATATCAACACAATTAAACTTATCGGAAAAGTTCGGTACTTTTTTCTTATAGCTCTGGCAGCAAACTATGGTGAATTTCCTATATGGATTATTGGAATTTATCGGTATGATCCAAGAATACTCAAACTGGCAGATTGCTTGAGACATGATGGAGACATTTAGTATATTTTATATTCCACGAGCCTTCTCGATGGAATTATATGTTATATTACAAACAACTATAAATGGTAGAACCCGTCATTTCTGAGCAGTCAGAAGAAGTACACTGGTTTTCCTCAGTAGAATGAACAATGTGGTGAGGGAAAACTTTAAAAATTATTCAACCGTCGCTTCCAGCGCTGATATTGCGTTCTGTTCCAGGCGGCAATGAACCTCGAAAACCCATGCGGTTCTGGCCGTCCACATATACTCTCAGCTTCAGCTGACTCTCTTGCTTCAGCACATCTCAACAAAATCCCTCCTTCAGGGCTGCATTTTCATTTGCAACGTACACTATCTTAATAAAATTATTTGGAACCAAGATCTAATCCAAGAGGAGACCGTTTGTCGAAAAAAAACAATAATCAAAAACTTTTCTTGGTCTTGAAACGAATCTTTGTTTTCTATACGATCGCAATTTGTTGTTGTGTTCGCCAGCGAACTGTGCACTATGCGTTGTCCACTGAGGTGTTTCGCAAGTCACCTGTGGTTTCGGATTGAGGGTTGTGTCCTACGAGTATGTGGTTGGGTGATTGGTGTGTGTAAAATACATTTCGTGCTAGTTCAAGGGTGTCGACTGGCAATATGAATGCGAATTTTTTCTGTAGCTGAATGCATGATACTATGTTGTATCTGAATTCGTGTAACGCTATCTTTATTTCATAAAAATAAGGAAATAAGATTTTTTAAAATATTTTCCATTTCTTTATGTTCTTTATGTCTGTAAACCTCTTCTCACGTAATCAGTAACTATAATATTGTTATAAACAGTGTAGCAACGACAATTCTTATTGTGAATAATAGTAGTGGTGATAAAAGAGATGCAATAAGGTTAGCAGTAGTAATAGTAATATTTAGTGTTAATTTCAATATTTCAATATTTCACTATTTCAATATTAATAGCAGTAGCAGTAGTAGTGTTAATAATAATTTAATAATAACAATGGTAATGTAATGTAATAGCGGAATAATAACAGTTATGATTTTTTTGTTTCATAATACCGCTATATTCTTCTTTGGGTTGTTCAATCTTCGAATCCAATTTATAATAATTTCGACGCAATTTCTGATTTTAGGAAATGTTTGGGAAAAAAATTTTTTTTTGCAGAATGAGTAGAAGTGGAGTGGCTGCAACGCAACGTTTAGTGCCAAAACGTCAAACACTTGACGAAGCATATGCACCACCCGCCAATTTCTTGGAAATTGAAGTTGTTAATCCGATAACTCATGGCGTTGGAAAGACGCGATATACGGATTATGAAATTAGATTACGCGTTAGTTTTTCTCTCCATAAAATTTTTTAGCAATTTTATTTTTGTTTTTTAGAGAGAAATAAAAGTGTGAATTAAAGAAAGTTTTTTTGTTGCTTTATCGCCTTTAGGTTTTTCTTTTTGGAAAATAAAATTGGATTTGATAACGTTGAATAACGTGTTCAGACTCGAACTCTCGTATGCATAAATACTCGTATGCTTCTCAATCTTAAAGTTATGCAACTTTTTCCTAAAAATCTGCGCATTTTATAATCTGCAGATTTTAACCGTTAACCGTTAATTATTAACCGTTTTTTTCTCTTCGAATTTTTAATTCGATTTTTATTTGTTTGCATTTCAGACGAATTTACCAGTATTCAAACATAAGGAATCGAGTGTTCGTCGTCGTTATTCTGATTTTGAATGGCTTCGAGTGGAATTAGAGCGTGATAGCAAGGTTTTTGTTTTTTGGCTTTTCTTATTTGTTTAAACTTCAGGTTTCGCAAATTTTTTCGGTATTTTTCAATTATCTACTTTGCAAGATCTGTGGGTTAGAAAGTAGAATGGCCTAGTGGGTTTACTCAAGTCGGTGTGCCAATGCTGAGGTTCTATTTCTAGCAGAAGTGGCCCCGTCAAAAAATCCGGGTATATGTTGGCGACTTATTTTATCATACTTCTCGAGGAATTGTCTGATGTATTTACTAGTCAGACAAATCAGCGGAGCGAATGTAACCAGTGATGGTGAATGCTTGCAAAAGAAAAAAAGATCTATGGATCCATATTGTTTATAATTTTTGGGACCAAAGAAAAATTGAGAAAAGAATTGTGGGATGATTCGAGTTCGTTATTGTGGAATGGTTATAGTGAATTAATATAAATTATTACCGGGGAAGTTCTGGGATTTAGAGGCGAAATGCAAGAGATTGAGATGCAAGAATAAGTGATAACAGAGGTAATGAAAAAATTTGAAGAGAAGAAGCGAAAAAACACAATACAATATTTAAAACACTCTATAATTGTAGACCAAATAATCGATAACTGCCATTTTCAAAATTTTTTAAATTAATTAAGTAGTTTATCTCAATGATTCCTTTCAGATAATGGTTCCAGCATTGCCAGGTAAAGCACTAAAGCGTCAGCTTCCATTTCGCACCGATGATGGCATTTTTGAAGAATCATTCATTGAAGAAAGGCGAAAAGCTCTTGAACAATTTATCAATAAGTAAATTTTTTTGGATTTTATAAGTGATTCTTTATGGACGATTTTTTTAAGTTTGCTGTTTTTCTTTCATAAAGTAAAATTTGCAGGCAAGTAATTAATAATTTTGTGTGAGAAATTGATAATTGTTCGATAAAAAATATCGAAATTTTTCATATCGACATATAATGAAATATTCGATATTACTTCATTTAAATTTTCAATTTTTTCAGAGTAGCAGGTCATCCACTTGCACAGAATGAGCGATGTCTTCACCTGTTTCTCCAAGAGCCTTTAATTGACCGGAATTATGTGCCAGGCAAAATTCGTGTAACGTAAAACAAAATGGTTTATTAATGTTAGATATGGCATTTTATATTTTGAACTTCATTTCCCAGATTTGAAAAATTTAGTTTTTTAATCGGATTTTTGAAGTACTTTGAATTACTTCCTTGTTGGTTTGTATAATTTTGATTTCCATAAATTTTATTCTATTTCGAATCCGTTAACTTAGTAATTTTTGGAATTCGAACTTGATTATTGTGAAAATTTTCGGATCTTTGGGATTTTCACTAATTTATCAATATTTTTGAAATTCTCAGCTTTTTTTGTTTGATGATGTGGATTTCTCCGTGGAAAATAATATTTTCTTCTTCTAGAAGGGCTTTTCTCTAGTGAATCGGTTCAATGAACAGATTAGGAATATTGTGAATATTTTTCTTTTCATTTGTAGAATTTTGTTCACTGTGCTGCCTAACTATTTTGAATAAATTCTGATATTAATAAGTTAGGTATTAATAAGTTAGTAAATGGATAGCGTCTACCAATTCTGGTTAGACTTACTCCATTTGCAATTAGTAAGGTAAGAATTTTGTCAGGGAGTTACTTGAGGAAAAATTGCGGGGATATCGCCAGCATTATCAGGACTTTTTAACGATATGCTTGTTTTTGTGGAGGTAAATTTTAAACATTGCTACTCGAGGCGATGATCTGAGCGATGGCCATTTTTCCCATCAGAAATATTCTCAAGTTTAGTTGTCATATCATACATTGATTCATTGAAAAAGAGTTTGGGATATTTCATCTTTTCTTATTTTCTTATTTTATTATATTCTTATTTTTAATTGTTTCACTTGTTGTACAATTTCACTACGTAATTTATTAGTATAAACATTAATTATTATTTAGCTTTTATCAGAGTAAACAAATGATAAATTTACTAATTATTAATTGTTATATAAAAATGCTAAATTTTAGATTTAGATAAAAAATTCTTTTGTGAAAAAGGAAGAAAGCAAAGGAAGAAAGCATAAAAGTGAAACAACTTCTGATACCATTCGACCATCTTATCCCTCTCTAAAAGTGATTTATGGGTGATTTGAACCATATAAAAATAGCTTGAATAATTTTAAAAAACTTTAGAAATTTCAGCAAAAAAATTCTTTATAATAGTTCTCTTTGGCGTTGTTTTTTTGCCGATTTTTAATTTAATAAAAAAATTTGAATCGTTGGATAATTTTTAATGTTGTTGATTCCATAGTTCTTTACAATTTCGTTTAAATACCATCAACAATGAATAAAAGTTCTTTTTTTGTGAAAATTAAAATATTTGGATTGTTGAAAAATTATAATTGTTAATGGTAAAATTGACAACGAATTGGTAGCCATCATGTCAACAAGAATGAACTGTTTATGTCTATGAAAGTTATCTTTTGACATCTTACGAAAATTTGCCATTATTCTGGGTCGAAGTCACTTTTGGTCGGATTTGAAGGGTATTCATCGGAAATTGCTTAATTGTTAATCGCTCTTGAGAACGATTTTGATTTGAAGTATTTGAATCTTCCATTGTTAAAAAGTTCTTTCTTTTTCTTTTAAGTTCTTTGATTTAAATTCTATTTGTGTTTTTTAAATGCAAATATCTTATCAACGATGAATCCAGAAAGTTCGGGCATCGGATTGCAAAGAAATGGAAATTCCCCAGATAATAAGCATTCTTTGAAGCGGACGAAGTCGTTTAGTTTCAAAGCTGTGAAAGAGAAATTCTTTTTTAAAAAACGACTTTCAATGCTTGAAATTTCGTCTACTTCATTGAACCAAAATATTGTGAACGGTAACGATGACGGAAAATTACGATTAATTTATGTCACATCTCGGTCTTCAATGCCTGTAGAAAGTAATTTGCTTGTAAATGAAGACGATTTAATAAAAAGGCGGTCGCAGTCATTTTCGATTAAGGATATCAGACGAAAATTAATCGTCTTCCAAAAATCGAATGAGCAAGAAATCCAGCAAAAATCTCGTGAACGGCGGTCATTACCACCACAAATGCAGGCTCGTAATCCCTCAAATATCGGAAAGTCGAGGGCAAGAAATGACGTGGGCGGCATAAACTTTCCAGAAGCATCAGTAGCCTCAACTGGATTTCGTGAACGATCGCAGACATGGTCGTGTAGCACCGAAAGCAAAGTTACAACGTATCAGTTGCAGCGATTGAACGATTTAGATGCTTTGAAGGCACCTTCAAAGTTCAATTCAACAAAGATATTTTTCCACAGTCTATTTTCGGCGAAATCTACGTCTTTTAATAATCAACTTGGTCCTTTATCGAAAGTCGAACGGAACTCAGGCCATAACCACCAGTCCTCATCGATCAAGATGGACGATACCCTCGAATCGTCTAATGGCTTGAATAATTTATGTTGTTTCACTTCAAAGTCGCCTTCAGGTTGGTTATCATTTCTTAATTTGCTTATTAAAGTGCCAGCAAATGTCAAAGAAATATTTCAATATTATCACTTAAGATTCTTATAAAACCTTGTTAATTTGAAACTTTTAGAGATGCAGTATAGTTGTCAACAATGCCTTTTTTATGTTCAATCTTCAAAGAAGCCAACTGATGATGAAAGTACCGATATGTATGTGTTTAAATTTTTTCATATTTTATGTATAAACCAGGTCTATTTGCACTCAATATTTTCCTCTTATCTTTTCATAAAGAATAAAGAAAAACGAGATATGGTTTCACTTCTCACCTCACGTGGGTATTATGAGCCTGAGAGACTGAGGCATGGCAGGCAAGTTTTCAGAGGGTCTTGCCCAAGGATTCTTGCCGAAAAGTGGAAAGGATTGGCTGAGATTCGAACCGTTGTTATAATATTTCATATTAGCAGCAGAATATTTAAATAAAATGGGTATTAGATGTCACATCAAATTGAAGTGATTGTGTATGCCAAACATAAAACAGGATGTTTTTTACCAAGGATCTGAAAATGCTATAGTTTGTATCCTTCTTCTGGTGTTTATTTCTGCCACTTGTTGCTGCTTAAATTTCCTGAATTTTTTGCTGTTGGTCTTATTTTATCTGCATTTCATTAATCTCATAAACTATATCAATAAAGCTATTGGATTTTTTCTTGTATCTCGTCGTGGACAGAGACAAAGGTTCCCCTTATTTATTTTATTTATACGCTTTTGTGCAAATGATAAAATTATCTCCCATTTATCATTCTTAAGCGAAATTTCTTCTCTTGAAATCAGTTATGGGAAACTAAAATTAAACTTTGTTCGAATAGTAAATATACTACGTTATATTCCATTTGGAAATTAGGCTTCTGAGATTACTTCTGGTTCCTATTAATTCGCTGTTTTACCTAATAGATACTAGGATTTGATGATTTGCTTCTTCAGATATTTTTTGTGGTGATTTAAGCATGCAAATTTCGATAATTCAATAATTTTTCCTGTGCTATTTTTCGCAAAAAAATTCCCTGTATCTATTCAAAAAATATTTGTAAACTACGAAATAGTCTAGGTAGTTCACCACTGGAGAAAATTAACCAGGGATTACGCTGTAATCTAGTCGAACATTGCCTTTGTTGTAAATTTTATTGCAAGTTTAATTCCAGGAAAAGGAAGTTAATAACGAGTGATTACAAAATGCCCTTACATATGAAGCAGTCTTTTATTTTTCGCAACAATTCGAGTACCATAAACAAGGTCAAAGTTCCAGCGTTGTATTTATTTTATTAATTTATCGTATTTTTGCATTAAAATTAAAATCAATTTTGGCTGATCGCTTTAATCAATTAAATCCTTCCCTTATCGGGTTTTTTATTCAGTTTTCAATTGAAACTTTGCTCTCCAATGCAGACCAATAAATTTTCGAATCCCATAAGTTCGAGAATTTCCATAGGATTATAGGTTACTGAAATCTTCTAAAAAAGATTCGCGAAATGAGCTAAGAAAAAAAAAATCCAAAAGAAATTCAAGAATCCATCAATCTCTGCTGAATGTATTGGCTTACTTTAATATCTCTGTCTAATTCAGGTTCGCTCTGTTGGTGAGTTATCGTGCGTGCCACAGAAAAATGCAGTTTCGGCAAATATTTTAGGTGACAACGAGGAAATCATCAACTGTGAGTTTTTAATACTTTACAAAATTTTTTTTGGTCAGTAATTATGTGTATTTTTAACTGCCTTAGGAAATAATTTCAAGAATTATTTTGCACCAAAAATAGGCTAGTGGATAGTTTTTCAGATTTATCGTCTTCAGGGGCTAATAATTAGAAGTAAGCTCGTCATTTAAAAAATCTGGTACTGGCGATGCACTTGCGATTTATCTGTACTTCTGTCTCGAACCGACTCTAAAATTTTCTAACCATACTAATAGTCATCGAAGCTAGCCTAACCAGAAATAGTGACCAATAGTGACCAAATCTCATTCAGTAATTATCATTGTACTACGATTTTCCTTTCGATATGACGATTGATGATATTGATCGTAAAATTATTGAGTTGTAAGTTTTCTCTTCTGCTTGTGAAAAACGTGCATGTTTAAATATAGTCACACTAATTCAAACTATGAGTTCATTTTTCATTGCTTCAAGGGTGCAGGGAGCCTATTTATATGTTTATCTGCAATCACTAAATTCCGCTTTAAATTTTGTTCTTGTCATTTTTTATCATTCTATTAAAAATTTAATGGAGTTTTTTTAGCGTTCGCGTGCATATTCCAACAAAATAATTCACAAAGTCGCGGTTATCTCTTTATCTACCGTCAATTTTTATCATATAATTCATTTGCATTATCTTGTGCGATGCACTTTATTATGCCGTTTGCTAAAATTCAGAATCTGGAAAAAATTACAGCATCTGATGCTATTGTCGTGAGTTTATGAAAATTTTAAAATTCCTATTCAAGAAGATTTAATATGGTTTTACGCACCATGGTTAGGCTGTCCTTTGACTACAAACGTGAGATATTCGTAAGCCGCTCAATATGATGCCGTACTTGAAAATGAAAGAAGCCGTTTTTTTTCCACTGTCTAAACCCATCTATCGCTGGGCTCTTTTCAGAATCTTTCCTGACAGGATGTGTACTAAGGAAACCGCATTATTTTTTGGATTGGTGCTGTAGTGAATGATTTGAAAGGAATAATTCTAAGGACTTACAAATCCAGGAAATAGAATCATCCCTTTTAGTTCTCTTATTATAATTTTGTAGATTGAAACAACCGATGCGGGCGACTTTTCCTTCTCATTTTTCGGCCAGTGCGACAATGTATTTGCGCTAATTTTTCATGTCTGGCAATCATTTCTAAATGGAAAAGTAATACGAAGAAATTTTTATAATTTATTGCCATTTTTTATGTTTTTCAGCCAAAAATTTCATAATTTCGATATTGAACCAAAAATTCCTTTACAAAAAATTATCGCAAAAATTCCCAAAAGGGATGTGGGTTCAGGAAAATATTTGATAATATGATAAAATTCAAATTCTTCGATATGTTGAAATTTATCTCTAATATTCTTTCATTTTGAAATTTTATCTATTTTATCTTTGAAATTTTCTTCGAAAATCTTCGAAATTTCAGAAAATATTGCATAGTAATTCGAAAAGAAAATGTAGTTTGCAAGAAGGATTTTATCAAGAATCTCAGTTGGTAAGTTTTCTTCATTCCTTCCATTCTTATTGGGTATTTTGGTCCTTTCCAGCGTATTTTGTGCTTGAAGAGAAATATTTTTGCGTTTCATATCCAACTTTTCCACTGTCTAAACTCATCTATCGCTGAGATTTTTTTCGAAATCTTTCCTGGCAGGATGATAGGTATTAAGGAAATTGTATTATTAATAACATAACTACTTTGATCTTTGCTACTATTATATAATTTGATTATTTTAAATAACCTCATAACTCATATTAGATAGGAAAAATTTTCAGATATTCCAAAGTTTTAAACCATTTGGTTATACTGCAAAAACTGCTGAAATATTCTGAAAAACTGAAAAAACACCACTTTTAATGAGTTTAAGTGACCAACATCACGATATAAATAATAAAATGAAAAGAATCTGTGGAACTTAAAAATGGTGGTGTTACCAGATTCCAGCATTATGAATTGTGATTTTAGCACTGTTCATTTACTTCTGTTCTCTTCCAATGGCATTCGCCATTTCTAGTTTGGCTGACTCCAGTGATTAGTATATAATGTCCAAAGTAGTAAGGCTAGGACTATACTGTACCAGTATTCGCGTAAATTTGGGAATGAATATGTGATGATGCCTTTTCGTAGAGAGTGCATAATGCTTTTGACTTTCTTTTTTAAACGATTTGATTAAAATGTTTTTTCTTTAAAAAACTTAAATGCACTCAAGTAAGCTCTTTTTTAGATTTTACGCTAGAATTTTAGTCTAGTACAACTCGCTGTTTTAGATAGTTAATTGAAGTTGGAAGTAGGACGCTGATTCTCCCTTGGCTGTAACGAATGCCATTACCTCTTTGAACACCGAAAGCGTATTCATCTTCACCTTTCTCAACTTTTGTCTTTTCATAAGAATTTAAAGTGTTTGTTTTTTAAGGCTTTTAGCAATGACCACTTTTTCCAAGTTTCATCAATAAATCGTTCGGCAAAAGTAGTTTTACTCCAAAAATTCGTAGAATATTCGTATAAATCAATAGCTTAACGAGATTGACATCCGTTATCGGTTTCGAACGAAGTAAATTTTTTTTGCGCAAAATCGATGCAGTAACCCTTCGAGTTATTTACAAATATTATATTTACTGCTATTAATCTCCCCACTTTTTTTCATCAGCGATATTTTATTCTTTTTAAATATTTTCATTTTTTATGTCCAATTTTTTAAAGCTTTTATTGGTCCATGGAGCAAGGAGTAATGCGATAAAATAACAGTGTGGTTAGTGGTTTAGGTTATAATGCTGCGAAAGTTCGACTTGTGCTCGACATGGGCAGACCTGTCATCCGAGTCATGCTGAATACCCATTTATACTTTTGCATTCAAGCGACTCCCTGGCAGAAATTTCTATTACCGCACTAATTAATAGCCATACGAGCTGGCGTAACCACAATTAGCACAAACCATTTGTTTTTTACTTATAGCAGGGAATCCAAAAGGTAAGAATAATGCCGTATACCTTTTATGAAATTTATTAGTTTTTTCGTTCTTCATTTCTTATTCGCCGCTACTCAGCGTTCAAATTATTCGTTTGATGGTTTGTACTTACCATTTCTGGTAGATTCGGTCCACCGGCTGTTAGGGATTTTTACTTAGCGATAGAAGTACCAAGTAGGCCAAGATAACTCAAATGATAGCTCTATTTCTGCCAGAGGTGGAGTTCGAACTGTGGCACCAAACATGGCAATCTTGATGATTGCTCGGCTCGGCTACACTCCCTTCGTGCAGCGCAGTAACCACGCCTTTATTATTAGCAATAAAATAAAGTAGAATGCAATATTAAATAAGAAAAATTTGAAAAAACATTAGCTGTTATGCAAGTCAAAATGGACTGATAAT